TTGCATCAGTAAATGCTCCGAGATTAAATTTCGATCTTCCTCATACAGATTTTGCTTGAAGAATGACTTAATAAACAAAGTGATTAATACTATCTCACTAAAGGTCGTTTCTTTTGAAAATAAAATAAAATACCTTGGTTTACATCATTCAACATTAAAAGAGAATGAACAATATGTCAATATGTCTCATGCGAAGCAATCACCATTCTCTAAAGGAAAGTCTCTATAGAAAAAATATAGTACAATCCCCTACCTGCTCCTGCAATCGCCAATTAAACGAAGATGTAGAACACGTCCTCTAGAACTGACCCAGTTTTTGATAATATCCGCCCAAAATTGATAACACGCCTCTCGAAAGCCCTTAACTGTATAGCACCCTTTTCTATCGAAATTTTTCTAACAGAACCATCTCCAAATATACTTTCTCATCTTTTCAATTTCTTAAATGTAGCTAAATTAAAGATTTAACTATTTCCTACATTTATCGTCCCGCTCAATAAGCGTTTCTAATTTGAACTACGTAACACAGAATTTAATGTCAACTCACAACACCTGGTAATGGCGTGATATACATTTGTATTTAACCAACGCATGCCCTGTGCATGGAATTTAAAGTCATCATAAACTTATATCGTTGTCCATTTCAATGATAAACATATGTATGTGTTCGTGTTTTTTGTATGTATCATTTTTAGAAAATGTTTTATATTATTATAATGTTTAAACAAAAAATGATCGAATTCTCAATGGGTCTTCATTTACCCTCCAACAGTTTAATTAAATTGCAGAAATCGGTACCAAAATGGTTCAATTTACCCTGCATAGAAAATTTCATATCTCAACATGCTTTAATAGATTTTTGGGTCGTTGATTACAAATGCGGTGTCCATTTTTAAATGTTAGTTATGTAACTTTGATAAAAAAAATTTTGTATCATTGCTAAAAAATATTTTTGAAAAGCTTATAGTATTAGCTTCAATTTCCACTTTAGATCATGTAATTCCGATGTATTGTTGACGAGTTATAAAATATTTAGTTACCCCGAGTATTCTCGGGGTTAATTTTGATTTTTGATAGTCACTGTACCCCGAGTTAACTCGGGACAAAAAATTCACTGAAAAATGTCATGATTATCTGTGTTCACAGTAAAAACGCATTCGAGATAAAACGAAGTACTGAGTACTAATTTTAGGGCAGTTCCATAGGAAAAGCAAATGGTGGATCACCGATTTTTTTAAACTCTGTAATTTTGTAGTACTTGGGGAACTAAATAACTGTGCCAAACAGTTTTACAAAAAAATTTTTTTTTGCATTTACATTTGAAAATTCGGAATTTGAAAAAATGACTTTCTTTGAAAATTTTTATTTATTTTATTTATTCAAAATTATAGAGGAAATGTCAATTTTTTATAATATTAAAAAAAAGTTGAGAAATATTAATTTTTCAATAATTTGTTTAAACAATAATTTTTTATTGTTAAAAAAACATGCTAGCAACATCATGGAATTTCGTAGAAAAATTATTGTATCAAAATTTGAACCTTCCTTAATAAGTGGTTAAATTTTAGAAGAAGTGCTTTTTGATGTTTTTAAGAAATTTTTTTTTTGAACTTTACGCTACGAGTTTTTGTGTGTTACGCTAACTAAGCAGTGCCTATAACAGTGTATTTTAAATGACGATATGACCTTTACTGCTCGCCTCTAATACATTTATTAATTCTATACGTATATATTACACAGGACCACAAATTTTTTTTAAAGGAAGTATTGACCGGACCATGTTTTTCATATGTTTTTTAGGTCGCTGAATGCAAATCCGAACTCAGTTTTCCGCCATCACTTCAAGTTTCTTCACAAATTAATCAAATTTGAAAAAAACTGACTGTAAACAGGATTCAAATAAAAATAAGCAGAAGATTTTATTAAAAATTAACTTTAAAACACTGAAAAAATATTATATAATGTTAAACAATCAAAGAAACTCGTAAATATTCAACATTTAAGATGGCGGATCCAATATGGCGTCGATTTTTTTTAAATTCACCCAATTTGCCTGAAACTTGTTACTCGGGGGTTTTTGGGGTTGCTAAATACGAATTTCACCTTAGTTTTCAAAAATTCAAAATGTCGGACCCAATATGGCTGACCAATTTTTAAAAAAATTATTGGATTTACCTAAAACGTTATACGCGGGGTTTTTTGTAAATATCTTGTAAAAAAAAATTTTTTTTGCAAAACTATTTGGCACAGTTATTTAGTTCCCCAAGTAGATACTACAAAATTACAGAGCTTAAAAAAAATCGGTGATCCACCATTTGCTTTTCCTGTGGAACTGCCCTTTATTTAAAACCTTCTTTAAAAAAATTTTGAACCCAAGGCCACAATATCAACTAATTTTAAATATTGTAACGTTGATTTTAAATAATCACGTTATAAAAACCGAATTTAGTTTTCGCCGAAACTTATTCAGTTAATTCTTGATTAATTATTATAAATTAAATGCGGTAGCCAGAATCGAACTCAACATTTTACTTTATTATTATCTTGTTGAATTGTATAGAATCAATATAATACAAAAATGTTGATATGTATAAAAATCATATTGTTTATCTCAAGAGAATTCCACACGTTTTGGTTGATTAGAAAACACAATGTTATTTATTGTTATTTAATTATCAACCGACCGAAAATGTGTCAACAATTAATATTAATCGGCACAAATCTACTGTCAACTGGCAACCACCTGTCATAGATGTTGGGCCTGTTATCATGCTGCTGGGGCGAACCCAAGGTGCGCATGACATATATACGGGACCGAAGCAGGATGTCAATTAACCTAATTTCGACAGTTCGTGCCTGGCTGCCGATTGATAATACGGTTTCACCGCGGTCAATCATTCCAACCATCAGCAAAGTAAAAAGATGGATTTCCGTGCTCGGTTGGACCGAATCAAAGGTTAGTGTCCAGTGTCCATCTTCCTCGTTATCTTGGGAATATCACCGGTGTACGGTGTGACCGAGAAATACTATCGAGAAGGAAGACCTCATGGCAAGCCGATAGGACGCCGCCATTTTCGGTCGACCGTCGCAATCACCGGCGTGTGGAAGTTCTCAATTCTTTTCACAAAGTTCAAAGTTTAAAATAAAAAGAAGAGTGATTTAAAAGAAAATAATCTGCTTGTGTGTTCTTATAATTTTCTTTAGTCATTTGTTTTATTTGTGTGCTAAGTTCAACTTGTCTCTCTCCTCTGTGTGCGGTACTCGCGCCCTATTATTTCAATATAAAACGTAACTTCATAAATAAAATATTGAGCTCGGTAAGAGCTAGTCCGAGAAAGTTCTTTGTTTTGTTACAGCATCGTTACAGCATCCTACCTGGCGCCGGGGAAGTTCCCTAAAACGGGTCATCGATTGTGTATTATAAGTTCGAAGTGTGGAATTTATAATTCGGCAATTTGGAATCCGTAAATTGCCATTTTTGTAACGATTGGCGGGTAAGATCCGCAAGTAAACGTAAGGATCGTTACAATATTTAATATAATTTTTAATTTACTCATTACAGTAATTTAAAAAAAATTAATTTTGTTTGTCAATTTTTTATTTGTTTGAAGTTTGGTAAAAAATAAATAAGGCAAAAAGTTATTATTGAAAAAAAGGAATTTATATTTCAAACCGAATAAATCACTATTTTACAATAATTATTATTTTTAGAATAATTGTCAAAAAAATTATATATATATATATATATATATATATATATATATATATATATATATATATATATATATATGTGGACGTCCACATGAAAAGGGTCCATTTTGGCACTACTGGAGTTATCTATATGGGCGTAATCCTGGCAAAATTTGGAGAATTTTGAGTGGTCTTAGAACTTTTTTGGTTGAAAATTCGCTGAGTTACGGAATTTCAAAGTTTAGAACGCCAAAAACCTCATTTCGAGAAAAACGGAATTAAAGATTGCGATACCAACTAATTGTTGTATCTCTGGTTCTTCTTGGAAGTTATTCAGATAAGAATTGTTTCTAGTTCAGGGCACCTTGAAGATAAAAAACCAACAGGTTTTAAATTTTTAGAACCACCCCCTCCCCTTAATTAATTAATTAATTTAAAAACCGACAATATGGGCCCTTTTCTAAAAAGGACAGTTTTTCTATTAAAAACCCATTTTTTACAAGATAAATGATTAGGTACAATTTTATTGTGTCATTTAAAGAAAAAGAATAGATATTAAACTGATTTAAAATTTTTTGACAGTCTCTATTGTGAAAAAATTGACGCAATATTAAAATTTTCATTTCGACAATTACGAAAAAAAGATTCTAACATCAATATCTCTGGTTCTTCTGGAAAGTTATTCAGATAAGAATTGTTTACAGTCCAGGGTACCTAAAAGATGAAAAACCAATAAGTTTTAAATTTTTAAAACCTTCCCCCCTCTTAATTTTGAAAAATTTCGTACTTAAGTACGAGAAACCGACAATATGGGCCCTTTTCTAAAAAAGACAGTTTTTCTATTAAAAAACCATTTTTTTACAGGATTAATGATTATGTACAATTTTATTGTGTGATTTGAAGAAAAAGAGTAGATATTAAACTTATTTAAATTTTTTTAACAGTCTCTATTACGAAAAATTTCACGAAATATCGAATTTTTCATTTCTATGACTACAAAAACAAGGACTCTAACATCAATATCCCTGGTTCTTCTGAGAAGTTATTCAGATAAGAATTGTTTACAGTCCAGGACACCTTAGAGATGAAAAATCAAGAGGTTTTAAATTTTTCTATACCTCCATTTTTAAAATACGGATTACTTTTGCAAATGACCGACAAAATGGGCCCTTTTCATTTTTCTAAAGAACCAATGAAATCAAACAGTTAAAGTATCGATAAATTAATGAAAACCGCATGATTCTACTTGTCAAAACATGTAGATTGATAATAAAAAATAAAAAAAAATTAAGAATTTCCTCAAAAATTACTAAATTGCGATTATCTCGAAAACAAGAACCGACAATATGGGCCCTTTTTATGTGGACGTCTACATATATATATATTTCAATTTTAAACTCCGGTTTTCTTTTTGATCCAATCGCGATGATATAAAACATTTGTATCAATTCCAGGAAGTCCCAGTGTTCCACAAGCTGCACCTTTCGAAACTATTGCAACCACAATTCCATCTTTATTAACTAATGGACCACCAGAGTCACCCTATGAGAAACATAGAAAAAAAATTAATTCTTAATTAATAGCGTATTGAAAAGGAACACATATTTTAATAATCCGGGACTGAAAAAAATATTTCTAATACATTTGGGAAATAAATTTTTTAAATAGTCTTCTGGTCACCTTCTCAGCAAGCAGAAACGTTTACGTGTTGTTCCTAAAGTTTCTAGAAGTATATTGTGTTTATGCGAGGGGCTGTTCACTCTCGAATACAAGATTCGCAAGGGAATGATTATTTACGAATACAAGGAAATCCGTGAAGAATCCGACCGAAATTTAAGAAATCATAAGGATTCGCCATTTACGAATCCAAGCGATTTTATGTGAATCCAAGATTCAGAAAATTCGTCCCCTACGATTCCATGTGAATCCATGCAAATAATAAATGATTATTTACGAATACAAGAAAATCCGTGGAGAATCCGACCGAAATTTAAGAAATCATAAGGATTCGTCTTTTACGAATCCAAGCGATTTCATGTGAATCCAAGATTCAGAGAATTCGTCCCCGACGATTCCATGTGAATCCATGCAAATAATAATAAATTTTCAAATTTTTGTTGAATTGGATTCTGAGTGATCAGCCCCTCGTGTTTATGCCAATAGTGTATAAAGTTCTTAAATTTACATATAATCAGTGCTAATTTAATTAGTGGTTATATTAGGGTTTTGTAAAACAGTGAATTCTTGACTACAGAAATCTACTGCAAGACATTGAGTTTTCAGTATAACGCCTTAAGAAGCAACAGAAAATTTAAGTGATGATTTAAATAATTATGCTAATGCAATTCAATAAAAAAAATCTGTCCGCGCAAGCGCGGACACATTCTCATCCGCGCTTCGCGCGGGGCTCGCTTCGCTCGCAAGTTTCAGCGCGCCTCGGGGCGCGCGAATATTGATCGTCGCGCTTCGCGCTCCGGCGATTATTTCGCTCGCGGTGGTCTGCAATTATTGTGCATTATTATATTGTGTTCCTGTTTCCTATTATATGTTTCATAAAATATTTTTTTTTCTTAAAGTTACTACGACTTTAAGGATTGCATTCTCATCACATGTTTTTGTTTGCTGCTGATTGCGACATTAAGTGGATTTAAATGTATATTTTTGGTCTTGATGATTAAAATTGTGAAGTTATTTTTAATTCTACTAACTCTCTTAGCAGAAACATGATTTGCAGAAGCAGATAAAATATTCTTAAAGTATTAGTATCAAGGTTTTTGTGTAGTGTAGACCGGAGCGTAATGGCTAACTTTTCACTCTTTGTCGATTTACTCGGACATTTTTGTTTTAATTAAGTGTTTATCTCCTAAAAAGTTACTCTGGTATCTTAGCTTTCTTTTAAAAAGACGAACGTACCTATATTACGCTTACTTTTTTTCTATAATGAACGTACACTTCGTCGGAATCGTAGGTTGTTCTTTATACATAGCCTGTTGCATTATCCAACACGCCCTAGGGGTACTTAAAAAATATTTTTTAATTTTTATCAATACTGTAAGTGTGAATCAAAAATCTCAAATTGACCCTCAAAAAATGTTTCAAGCTTAAAACGCGATTTTAGTTTCTTTTTTAAAGTTATTTTAAAAAAATTAGAACGAAAAAATGAAAATTTTGAAAAGTTACTTTCATATGTGAAATACAGTTTTTCTACTATATTTCCTACAATAGTGATTGAATAATAAATAATCAAACTTTGTAGAAATATACGTATATACGTGATTTGTAAATATATATCAAATGTATGATTAAAAACATGTAAATCCGGATACAGTGAATGTGATAGTTTAATTGTAATAAGAAAAACTTTAAATTTACTGAAGATTTAAAAATGAACAATTAGATAAATTTTCTGCATGATTTCTTTAAAAGAACGTCCAAGCGCCTAAACTTTCGGTAGGACCTTCCGGCAGGACGCGCCTCTTACATAATTTATTATATATATTAACAAATATTATTATATGTTATTTTGAGCTTAAACAAGAAATTCACTTATGTTTTGAAAAAATTGCCATTTTTAATGCTATACAAATATTTGAATAACTTATAAAATAGTAAACGTTTTCTAAAGCTCCTCTTCTTAATTTAAAGGTCATTTTCAACAATATGAGAATTACTTCAGGTATTAACGTGTATTCTTTGCTTAGAAATTGTAAGCAAAGCAAAGGTAGGATACCCAAATTAGAACAAAATAATAATAAATAGCACAGCATTTCAAAAAAAAATTTGAACTAAGAAATTAAAAACAATCCTCCAAAATTTACCCATCATTTTAACAAGCAAAAATAAATCACCTCCACTAAGATGAGACAAAAAGTCAAAAATTCGAAAAAGTTTTTAAAAAAATTAAGTTTTTCAAAAGTTATCGTCGGACAGACAGACAGACAGACCTACAGACAGACGTAATCGCCGGACCATGTTTTTTGTATTCAGGGCACCTCAAAACGCAAAGATTTCATAAAATTAGCAAATAGTATATTAAGCAACAAGGTACGTAAAGGCAGCCTTTAAATCCCGTGTTACTTAAGATATTTTTTATTCCAAAGGTACAAAAGTGCCGATTTAAGATAGCAGACGACAGGGAGTAAAAGTCATTCACTTGTTCGACTTGTATGAAAATGGCGGCCTTTTTTTTCATGAGCAAAAATAACGCATGGGACTAGCTGTTTTTTTTGCCCATGGGAAAAAAGGTCGCCATTTTCATTCAAGTGGACAAATGAATGGCTTTTAGTTCCTGTTGGCTGCTATCTAAAGGCGCCTATTTTGTGCCTGAGGTATAAAAAGTCCATTTTTCACCAAATCTAATACCTCCTCATGTGATGAGAATGTAAAAAACCATTTCCAACAAGATAGGACCATACATTAAAATGTAAAAAAGGGTCTGACCAGCCAAACTGTATAAAAGAAATTTCATTAATTTTCTAAAATGTTAAAACTTTTATGAATATATTTTAGTAATAACATTTTAGAAAATCAATAAAAAATTTTTAACCCAGATGAGCTAGCCTGACCCAAAAACTTAAAAAAAAAATTAATTTTCTATGAAAAAATGTTGTAGAGAAAAGTTGTTTGTATTTTTCTAATCTAAAGTAATATAAAGTTAAAAATTCTAAAATTTTAAAAAATTGAATTTTTAAAGTTTTGAAACTACTGTAGGTTGCGTAGTTTTCAACGAAAATGGCTAGTTAACGAACTTAACCTTCATTTTTACACCAACTTTAAGTGTGTTAAATTTAAAAACGATCAGATAAGATTTTCAAAAGTTATTGTGTCTACAACATTTTGGTCTACAGACGGACATACATACAGACAGACGGACAGACAGACAGACAGACAGACACACAGACAGACGGACTCGCCGGACCATGTTTTTCGGATTCAGGGGACCCCAAAACGTAAAGATTTCATAAAATTAGCAAAAGTCAATTTTCGACCAAAACTAATACTTTCTCATGTGATGAGAATGTAATAAAAATTAGTTTTTTGAAAATAACTCGAAAAGTTCAGGGTTTGGCAAAAAGTTGTCAACAGCAAAGTTGTAGCTGATGCAAAGGCGAGAAAAAAAGTCTCTTGGAGCAAGATCCCATGTTAAATAAATTGGGAGATAATTGAGTCGGAATATAGATTTTTTGTCAAAAAAGCGCACAAAAAATATATATATAGAGTGGTTTTTCCGGAAATTACAACTTTTTTGTGTACAAGTATGTTTTTTGAGTATTTTAGGGTGAGAATATGTCAAAATCAATTAACTAACTTTTATTCCTTTCAAAAAATCCGATTTTCAGTGTTATTTTAGGATTTTTTTAGTTTTTTTGACCATTTGAGAGACTATAACTTCGAAAATTGAGTTTTTATGAAAAAATGTTGTAGAGAAAAGTTGTTTGTATTTTTCTAATCTAAAGTAATATAAAGTTAAAAATTCTAAAATTTGAAAAAATTGAATTTTTAAAGTTTTGAAACTACTGTAGGTTGCGTAGTTTTCAACGAAAATGGCTGGTTAACGAACTTAACCTTCATTTTTACACCAACTTTAAGTGTGTTAAATTTAAAAACGATCAGATAAGATTTTCAAAAGTTATTGTGTCTACAACATTTTGGTCTACAGACGGACATACATACAGACAGACGGACAGACAGACAAACACACAGACAGAAGGACTCGCCGGACCATGTTTTTCGGATTCAGGGGACCCCAAAACGTAAAGATTTCATAAAATTAGCAAAAGTCAATTTTCGACCAAAACTAATACTTTCTCATGTGATGAGAATGTAAAAATATAATTAGAGATCAAGCTATTTTAATAGACTAAATAGTAGACGCCTCCTATAAGGATTATATCCTTGTTCTTTCTTAAATAGTTCCAGACTCTAAAATTCGCTTTTCTTCTCTTATTGTCAACAATAAAATACCACGAATAAAAAAAAAATTATTGAATAAAAAAAATGCATCGTTGTTAATCTTCAAAATCAAATTATTTCCATTGATCCTTTTGTTACGATAAACAAAAGAATTATTTTCTCTAATGTACATCCACTTATTGGCGACAACTTGCTAAAAACATAACTAAAGAAGATCAATGTTAAAATAATGTCACCCATTATGTCGGTTCGAAATGGGTTTTCGAAACCGTATCTCTGACGATACAACCTTTTGGATATATCTCGTCTGACTCATCCACACTTTTCAATTGAGGGGACGGATTCTAAAAGGGGATACGCGTGGATTGTCACGTATAACTATTGACCAATAGTGCGATTTTCAAACATTTTCAATTTTTAAATTTAATGACACAAATTTATACACAATAAAAATGCGCATCTTTTTTCTTTAAGAAATAAATTGATACAATTTTTGAAGAAATCATAACATTTAAAATCTAGAAATGTCATTTGAAAGCATTTTTTGTCACCTTTTCAACAATTTTTTAAAAATTGGTCTACGATAATTTTTAAGAAAGATATGATCATTTGTTTATAAAAATATCCTATTTTTCCAATTGTTGGTAACTTGAGAACAATTGATTTTTGAAAAAAATTGTTAAGGAAAAAAATGTGCCTTTTGGTGCGTGGAATTAGAAAAAAAATATTTAACCATTAAAAAAAACTTTTTTTTTCATTTTTTCTTTCTGTATAATTATATTTTTAAAACGAATAACATACTTATCAATACATATCTACATATCGATAAAACCGAATACAACATAAATCATCACTGTTAAAAAGAACAATTAATAATAATTATACTTTTCAAATCATTTCGACGAAAAAAATATTTAATATTTTTACTCTCAAAATGTTTAAAAGTAAAATTATTAACAATACTGATTTAATTGTTTATAAACAAATAAATGTTTTATAATTAGAGTAGAAGGGGGTAATGTAGTGCACTTTTCTTTCGGAGACTCCTGTGGTCGCAATTTTCAACCAATTTTGATCATTAAGAACTCGTTGGAAAGACAATGCTTCTAGCTACATTTATGGTGTACATTATTTTTTTGTACATGTAGATGGAGCTTTTCTATATCCAAAAAACTGAAAGCACTTTTTTTCGACATTCTAAAATTTGTGGGGCAATGTAGTGCACCACTTTCTTAGTGGAATAAAAAGCAGAGAATATATCATAAACGATTTTATTTTATTAGATATAACATTAGGAACATAAGAAACTTAAAAAACTATAAACTAGTAGTGATGCCCACAAGACGAGACTTTGCATGTAAAAACCGAGACGAGATCGAGACTTTGCATGGTATCATCTCATCTCGTGGATAGCACTATAAACTAGAGATTTCTTTGGTCCTGTGTTAGATGAAACTGAAAGAAAACTGCAAAAATTTGCAAAAAGCAAACATGGTTAAATAATACATATTTACTGTACTCTGTATAATTGCACTACATTGTCTCCAACCCCGTGCACTACAATGCCCCCAAGCACTTTTTTCACGTTGACTTCAATATCTCAATAAAAACAAAATTAAACATCAAAACAATACTAAATTTGAGTTCAGAAGTAAATTTTACATGGAAAAATCACTTTCCTGATACTTTTTTAACGAGCCTCACATTTTTTTCAAGTCACTAAAAAAACGGAAATATGGTTTCGAAATCTAGTGTTTTTGAAGTGACGCCACAACTTCTTTTAGAAGAAGCACAATAAAGCTAAAATGATATACATTACTATTATTTGATACCTTAACCCTATTATACCAACGGCAAGTAATTCAATTCATTTGTTTAGTCAGTAAAGCCAGTGCACTACATTACCCCCCTCTACTCTAATGTTATTTAAATATTTGAAAACTGTAATTATTAACTGTTCCTTTTAACAGTGATGATTTATGTTGTATTCGATTTTATCGATATGTATGATAAGTATGTTATTCGTCTTAAAAATATAATTACACTAGAACCTCCAACGATTGCAGCGTGACCTTCTTGTGTGCAATAGATAGAGGTTTTCACCTTGGCGCCATCTTTCCATAAAAGTGTCAACACTCAGGGCCGTACACTCTCACATATTTTGTATTGGCGTAAAATGTCATTTTTATCCTCGCCATTTTTTATTTTTTTAAAAATATTATGTTTAGTTTCAATGTCTAAGTGCGTTCTTTTACGTTTTTGACCTTTTTCAGTCTCATGTTGAAATATGAAAATACAACTTTAAAAAACGGGGCGCAAAAGAACACTAAACTTAGTACAATACTGCCTTCGCATTAATATGGCGGTGTCCTCCCCTCTCACCCCCCTAGCGGATGACCACCAAACTTTCGTAAACAACTGCAATAGATAGAGATGCAATCGTTGGAGGTTCTAGTGTATACAGAAAGAAAAAAAAAAAATTTTTTAATGGTTAAATATTTTTTTTCTAATTCTACGCACAAAAAGGCACATTTTTTTCCTTAACAATTTTTTTCAAAAATCAATTGTTCTCAAGTTACCAACAATTGGATATTTTTATAAACAAATGATCATATCTTTCTTAAAAATTATCGTAGAGCAATTTTTAAAAAATTGTTGAAAAGGTGACAAAAAATGCTTTCAAATGACATTTCTAGATTTTAAATGTGATGATTTCTTCAAAAATTGTATCATTTTAAAATTTTTTAAAAAAAGTGAAAATTTTTTTTTTATTTCTAGCAATTAAACAATAAAAAAAATTTTTTTTACATTTCTTTTTGGCATCGTTTCAAGTCAAATACTTAAGCTTTAAAATAAATATTTGATTAAGATTTTATCTTTATTATTATTGAAGATACAAAACTTTTTGTAATGCCCTTGCATGCCGTAGGGTAGGCAAATCCTTTTGAGCGGCACTGTATATTTACAAAAAATTAACAAATATGCCATTCGATAGCTTTTTTTTTTTTGCTTAGGGACTTTTGGGAAATCTGCCTACAGATACCTTGGATTCCGCACTCCAAGGTTATGTGGGGTTGGTATGATAAAACAAAAGGAAACATAAAAAAAAGAAAAATAAATATATATATTATAGTAAATTTAATAAACTGGCGACCTACTACCAGCCCGATTTCAGGAATCGACAGATTTGACCAAAAAATTTCTAAAAATTGCAGAAAAGATTTGAAACTTACATTATAAGTTTAACAAATTTCCAAAAAAATTTTATTTTTTAAATTTTTTGGGGTATGGTTTTGGGCAGTGCACGTGCAGCCGAACCGATAATTTTCGACGATAGTGTGCTATTTTCAAATGTTTAACAATAATAATTTTAAATCAATTAATTTTATTAAAAGCTGTATACTAACTTGGCATTTGTCTTTAGTTACGGTTTTATTATGAAATCCGTAACAAAGTTCGTCTTTATGAATTTGTACACCTCGTAAACCATAAAGTATTATACATTTTAAAGTCCCCATTCTCGGCAATCGAACCTGACGTAATATTAAGGATCCATTTCCTTGTACCTGCAAATAAACAATATTACCACTGCCCATAAGTAAAATAATTAAAATATTAATTTTTTAAATTAAACTAACCCATATGTTTATATGAATTAATATGTTATTGTTTAATAACAATGAAAATGTAATATAAATGTGTCACCCGTGTGCGACACAGATTAATTTTTTCAACTTAAAAAATCATCCAGAACACTATTTATTTTTACTTGTTTATATAAATAAACAATTGCTTTTTTCACTAAAATTAAATATTTTTATTTGAAAATAATGTCAGTTATACTTCATTTCAAGACAAATAAAATGCAACTTGAAACATTAAAATCGATGAATAAGTTTTTGAGAAATTAATTTTTTAATTAAATATGTTTAAAATTTTCAATAGTTAATAACATTAACAAAAAATTTTTTTTTGCAAAATCCTTTGGTATTATGATTTCTTATATAAAATACTATTAAAATAACCACATTACTACGAAAAAAAAATTAAAATGTTTTGGGTGGCTCCTTTCAGGAATTCTGACTCTATTACAAAAAATATTTTAGTTTTTCAAGGCTTTTGCATATTATAATGCTCTTATGCCCGGTTCCACCAACCTCGATTAAGACATTAAGGGTGGAGTCCCATGACAGCGTTTTGCGTTGCGTCGTAATGGGAGAGAAAAAGACGCAAATATACGTTTGCTGCATTCTCTCTCATTACAACGCAACGCAAAACGCTGTCATGGGACTGCGGCCTAACGGACCGTCAAATTTCTACTTGCGTTTCACCAACTTTTAACGGAACGTTATCTCGATTTAACCCATGTTAAATCTAAAGGCCTAAGCACAACTGGTTCGGTTTCGGGAGACGGTTTCGGGATATGTAAGATTTACATATATTTTGAGGTTAGGAAGCCCATATCCCGAAACCGAACCAGTTGTGCTTAGGCCTTAACCGGCCACAATAGCTCGGTTAACGTGTGTTAACAGCCGGTTAACGTATCCTAACCTAAAAAGTGTTTTGAAAAGTGACAGATAGTGAAATTCTTGTTGATAGAAAAATAAATTTTATGAACCATAAGTCAGTATAATTAAGGTCATGTTATTCAGTGGTCTCGTGTTCCCATAGTAAAGTATATGGGGCACGTGACCACTGAATAACATGACCTTAAGGGAAAAGTCAAATAAATTTTATTTCAAAGAAATTTTAATTCAATTGTTCAAAGATACTTCAATTTTTTTAATAAATTCTATTAAAAAATAAACACATTAATTGAAATTTTCTTTAAATTAATACAAATTTTAAATAATGTTATTTAAAATTCGGATAAAATTGTAAATTTTAATTCAATTGTTGAAAGATTTGAATTTTTAAAATAATTTTATTAAAAAATTATTAAATTAATTGAAACTTTGTAAAACTGTCTTAAAAATATTACATAAAAATAATACAATTTGTTAAAAAATTTTATTAGAAATTAAAAATACCGAAGTCTCAAAGAATTTTTATTTAATAATTTATAAATAATTGAATTCATTTGTACAAAAAGTTACAATTACAATTTTTATAATTAGTAAATTTTAAAATGATTTAAATTAGGTTATTTTTTTTAATAAAAGTCTCGAAAAATTTTATTTAAAATTGTAAAAATTAAAGTTTTTAAAATATTTCAATTTTGTTATTATTAATTAAATTGAAGATGATTGAAATTTTATAAACAAGTAATTGGAAGTTTGTAAAATAATTTTAATTTCCTAAATTCTATTAAAATTAATTGAATTTTTAAAGAATTTTATTGTAATTTTTAAAAATAATAGACAAAAGTTTGGTACAGTAAGAAATTTTATTTTTAGCTGTTTCAATTTTTGAAAGAGGGATCAGGGAAAAAGTCAAAATTCTATCTAGAAAACGTACACTTTTCGTTAGAATTGACCAATCATAATAGAGAAAGTATTGTTATTTCGAACATAGTATACGTTTAGTTAACCATGGCTTATAACATGTTGGTGGAACGCATAGGCGGTTAAAGTCAACTTAACAGCGCCTTAAACTTTAGCGGACCGTTAGTTAATCGAACCTTTAACTACGAGTTGGTGGAACCGGGCATTAATGTACACTGTAAAAAAAGGGAGTTAAATTTTAACTCCCCAGGGGAGTCTATAAAAGTCGCACCCATTGGGGAGTTAATGCCAGGGGAGTTAAATAAAGAGAGTTAAAATTTAACACCCAAATGCTAACTCCCCATGGAAAAAATAACTCGCGCGGGTGTTGAATGAAGGGAGTTAGAAATTAACTCTCTTTTGGAGTTGATTTTTAACTCGAAAAATTTAACTCCCAACTCCCGAATCCGTTAACTCCCTAAATTTTTTACAGTGTAAGCAATTAAAATTTTGACCAATGATTTGAAATCTGCGATAAAATTGGCGCAAAACTTGAGCAGACATTACAACATTTTAATAATAATTAAATTAATTATAAGCAAGTAACATTGGAATAAATTAGAAAGAAATAATAAAATTATTCAAAATTGTGTTTAATCTTACGTCTGTTTTTCCCCAACCGGCAATAGTGACATAATCGATTTTAAGAGGTTTTCCCTTCTCAGGTAACTTTAAGGGTCTTATTGCCTTATTAAACTCTAATGGCGGACTAATTTTGATCACCGCAATATCATTTTCTGTAGATTTTTTAGAACTTAGACCAATAAATTTCTCATGCTGAATATATTTAGTCACGTTATATCTTTTTGCCGTTATTGTTCTATTTCTGAGATTAGAAGTGCCAGCAATGACTCGCATATTATTTGCATCAAGATCAGGACTGAAAAAGATTTTGATTATATTAAAAAATTCAAATTGGTAATTATATTTAACCCTTTGAGAATAAAATTCTTTCTGAAAAAATCGCAATTTTTTATGTTTTAACAAGCTTTTCAGGGAAAGTTATTAAAATTATCTATTTGAGGAATAGTATTTGAAATACTAGATTAGATGAAAACTGTTGTTTCAATATTCAGTTTTAAAAATAAAAAAGTTATACTCTTGTTAACAAAGAAATGTTCATATTGTCGTAAAGCAACACCGGTCCTCAAAGGTTTAAAAAGTAATTTGTAAAAGAGGCATATTTTAAAATGATCGTTCTCATAAACAATTGCCAATATAAGGTAATTTTTAATAATTATTTCTCGTATTTAATTAAATCGAACTTCATTTATACACTACCGTCCACGAGTATCAGGACGAAAACATATAGTCTAGGAGCTAGCGACCAAAACAACTATCTCATTTCATACCGGCTGAAAATTTGAGTATAGATTACTGAAGACATGTAAATAACAGAAACCCACGTCTGGCAGGCCGGTGCTGGGGCAGGGGCAGGGGGGCGAATAGGTGAAAAATAATGTAAAATTTTCTCATTTCATACCGATTAAAACCATCATATATCGAAAGTTTACATTTAAACAAATATAAAAATCTACATCTTCAAAGGGCTGCCAGACGTACTTTGCCCCACCCCAGAACTGCCAGACGTACATTTTTACACTCGCGTAGATGTAAACTTTCGTTTTATAAAGGTTTTAATCGGATGAAATAAGAAAAATGTAAGTTATTTTTCACCTATTGACCCATTTGCCGCATCTTCGAAGGGCTGCCAGACTAAATTTTTTAGTTTAATTTTCTAGATTTTTAAAAAATTGAAGTCAAGAGACAAAAATGAGAAAATTTTCGCAATTTTTTTTATTTCTTTCTCACTCTACAACTTAAAAAATAGTTAACGAAATGACTTCAAAAGCGGCTTATTTTACGCAAAATTTAATCAGCTTTCTAACCGTATTTAAGTTTTTTTGTATCTCCTTTTATTTTCGAGATATGATTGAAAAAGTGATGGCATGTTTTTTCATAGAGTCGCGTGTAATCATCCTAATAATTGCGTACAGTAGTGTATTTTCTACTGTCTCATAAAATTGTTCCACGGAAGTGAAATAATAACTCAATACACAAAAAGCCGAAAGTATTCCGATTTAAAAAAAAACTTATGTTATTGGTGAAACTTAGCAAATCTGTTTCTATTTACCCTAACTGACCCTAACCACTTATCGATAGAAATCAGGATAAATAAATTTGAATTTTGATTATGTATCGTGTATATATATCGCCTAATGCAAGCTTTAAGGATTTTATGTTTAACTTTGAACAAACTTGGACGCCTATCTAAGAAAATTATATTCATTTACCAGTATTTATGGGGGCTGATTTCAATAGTAGGGAAGCTGATTTAAATCAATTGGATAGGAATATTGTTGGTTTTTGTCATCTAGAGGAAGAGAATTGATTGATTTTATGGAGGATAACCGAAAAATTTTATTAAATAGTAGAATAATCCTGCTAATTGAACATTTATCGGTCAGCTTGGCAAAAGCGTGATAGATTTGAATTGGGCATCTACAGAAGATTGACAGAAAATCGGATTTTTTATTTGGAACATTTTTTCACAAAAAATTTTAGATTCTGGGAAAGTGCCACGCACATGTAGTTCCTTGGAAATCTCCATGTTGCATAAAAAAAGGTAATCAAAACGAGCCGAAAAATCATAGACCAATTACTTGGATGAACTGTGTGCCAAAAATCTTTACCCAAGTGTTGTCGGAAAGATCGGTAGTTTGGATGAATGAGTTGCCCACATAGCACAATCATTTTCTGCAAATTTGCGGCAAGTTTTCAAAGCCAAATTCGAAAACTTGCCTGGCAAATTTGCAGCAAACTTGCGGTAAATACCAAAATGTCCGTTTGGTGGCAAGTTTGCAGAGCAAATTTGCAGAAAATTTGCATGGCAAAGTAAATGTTAAATGCATGCGCAGTAGTTTTCTATGACATCTAGAGCTGCGCACTACATTTATGTCACCTTCCCTGTGAGGGAAGGCAACGTTTATCAAAATACTTACATTTTGAATACAAAAAGATTTTTTTTGAAATTTTTAGGTTTTTTGAAAGTTTGCTGCAAATTTTCCTCAAGTTTACTACAAAATTATCTGCAAGTTTGCCACGCAAGTTTTCTGCAAATTTGCTCTGCAAACTTGCCACCAAACAGACATTTTGGTATTTACCGCAAATTTGCAGAAAATTATTGTGCTATGTGGGTGGAAGTGATCCCTGAATTTTAATAAAGATTTCGGAGGGGAAGGGAATACTTGGATAATCTGTTTCTGCTATATAGGCATTAATTCAAATGTAAAAAATGAATTTGATGGGTTTAAGCTCTAAAATTAATGTCTTAAAGAGCTTTTAGAAACAAGCTTTAGTAGTAATCAAAACTGGAAAGGGTTTGACAGATTACATTGTTTTCCTATTGTGGAGCTCTGTTGATGCCATGCATTGCCCAAAATAATTTGTCTATTGTGTACTCAACCTCAATGATTCTATCTTAGATGGGATTTTATTTTGTGTCGGTAAATTTCGTAGAATTTCGGAAAATAGGCGCCAAGAAGGGTATAAATGCATGGGGATTGTCGCTGGGTGGGGTTTTTGCCGCGGGATAATTAATAAAACCATCCCCGTGCGCAAATATTTCTCACTTATCAGAATTCAGTGGTTTGTCTTGTCTTGACACATCTTTGCGTGTCGCCGACAGCCCGAAGGTAGAAGCTTCAATTTTATATTGATTTATACAATTTTATTTTTGTTTAACGTTGTATTTAAGTATTTGGTTTTTTATTTTGTTTGTAAATTTAGAGTTGCGATTTTTTTTCTTTGAAATATAATTGTGAATCAAGTGATAAGTGAGGAACAGCGTAGGGGAGCCGGAAATCTAACCATATTTTCACATCACGACGATCAATATTTCGTATAAATTAGATGTGTGCAAAATTCGAATAGAGAGAAAATTCGATTCGAACTTGACAATTCGAAAATCGAAGTTTCGAATTGCACGACTCGACTCGGTCTACTTTCGATTCAAATCGGCCGATTCGAAGATTCGACTTTCGAATTGCACAACTCGACTCGGTCTGCTTTCAATTCGGCCAATTCGAAATTCGAAGTTTCGACTTTAGAATTGCTATGTAATATGCTATGTTGTGTATGCAGTATATTGTGCAATTCGAAACTTCGAATTTCGAATTAGCCGATTCGAATCGAAAGTAGACCGAGTCGAGTTGTGCAATTCGAAACGCTGATTTTCGAATTGATATTCTTTTCTTTTCAAATGAGACGTCGATCAGGAACCCATTTTTTCTCCCACCCGCCCTTAATAATTTATTGTTTGATTATTCGAATTCGTTACATGCTAGAAATTTGGAATAGGCTTTTAATTGTAATTAACAAAGTTATAGTTTCTAAATCATAGGTTGATTCCTGTTGGTGCATCGAACGTGCTAGTTTTTATTTTTTTCAGTGGAGTTACAAGTTGAAAAATTTTTCTTTTAAAACCACTAATAGTAAATAAAGTTGTGTTTCATTAAATAGCAGAAATAATTATTTAAAAATAACCTTATATTGGCAATTGTTTATGAAAAAGGATGTTCTTGAATAGAATGCCTCATGAGAAAAATTATCCTACTTTAAAAAACAATGTGCAGCAGTAAGTGCCCATTCATTGCTAATAATTCCGGCACCACAAGCATTGGTCTTATTTGGATTTGTTGTTGGTAGTATAAAAAATAGCTGAGAATTTGTGAGAAATATGTACTTTATTAGTTATCAAATTTTCAAAGATAAAAGAAAAGATTTTTAAAAAATAGAGTATTTTCTTACCATATATGGTGCTTGTGTTATTTCAATTTCATCTCCACCAATTATTCTATTTTGCGACCAAATCACTTGGTTGTTTACTAAACGTGATAGAATAAATTAATACTTCATAACAATATAAAAAATGACATTTTTTTCGGAAAGAAACTTCTTCTATTTTTATTTAAAAATTCTTCTAATAAAAAATATTAATTCAATTTTAATCACATATAATGGGTAATTCTTCTGAAAGTGCTTTTGAACTTCGATTTTTTAATTTATTTTTCTTTGAAATCATATGCGGTTTTTCTATTGAAATTTCATACTTTATTTCATACTCAAAAGTAAGAATTGAAGTTGCGTAAAATTACTTGTTAAAAATATTAAAGTTTTTTTTTCTTTGGAGAATATTGCCTTTGTTGATCTATTTTGTTATATAATCAAATGACACTGTTTAAAAAAATAATAATTTACACATTTTAAGGAGTTTGTTTACAGGTATGCAGACCTTCAGAAAAAATATTGAATTGACATTAAAGAATTTTTTAATATTATTGTTATTCGTATCTTCTGGAAGAACAAATATCAATATTCAAGAAACAAATTTGAAATTACAAAAATTGTTTATTTAGTCATTTTGCATATTATCAAAGTTTTCTTCATATTAAAAGGTTAAACTTTTTCAAAACTGATTCGATTTAAGTCAATGATGGCTTATTTTCTTCAGAAAATGGTTCTCTATAACTTGACCGCTCAGATTTATAAACAAATACACCGTTTTGAAAATATGCTTCTTTGTTTAAAAAAATTTGTTTAAATTAAATCACTTTTTTTAAACAAATAAGCATATTTTCAAAACGGAGTATTTGTTTATAAATCTGAGCGGTCAAGTTATAGAGAATCATTTTCTAAAGAAAATAGGCCATCATTGACTTAAATCAAATCAGTTTTGAAAAAGTTTAACCTTTTAATATGAAGAAAACTTTGATCATATGCAAAATAACTAAATAAACAATTTTTGTAAGTTTCAAATTTTTTCTTGAAAATGGATTTTATAGAGAATAGATTTTATAAAATTAATTAACACATCAAAAATATCGCTTTCAGAAGAATCACCCAATATTCAAAAATTATTGCCTTTGGTGAAATTTATGAAAAATATTAATAAAATTATTAATTCCTTATATTATGAATAATCAATTATTATTAATTATTTATTATTGATCAGTTATTATACTTATTGATTAATAATCATTAAGAATTAATTAATATTAATTGTATATTATTAATTATTCATACATATATTTTTAATCAATGCATAAGAAATATTTAAAAGACTTTAAATTCAAAAAGAAAAAAGATTCAAAAAGAAAAATTTATAATTTTAAGTAAATGTAATTATTAATTATTTGTAAATTATTTATAAATACAATTCCTTACCAATGTTTAATAATACATTGGAAATAATAAGAAGAAATAACTTACATGCAAAAATGAAAATTAGCGAATAACATATTTTTCTAAAAAAGAATTCCATTAAAACCAATAAAAAAATTGACGTTAACAAATAGTATTTTCTAAACAATAAAAAAGACAATGACAAAAGTTTATTTTTCGCGTATGTTTTATATAAGCATTCAACGTCAATTGAAAAAAAACTAGTTTTTTTATGTATAGATTAATGTATAACGCTTTATTTTTTTATTTTGCATATTTTTTTCCGTTATTTTGTTTACTTTTTTATACGTATCGTATAGAACATTGTTATAACAAACATAATAATTATGTTTGTTTACGCTTTTTCACAATACACATTAATGACGATTTAGCAAAACTGGCATTTATTTATATAAAATTTTTTTATTTTAAGAACCACTTTACATTTTTTATTTTATACTTATGTTAAGTATAATAAAATTATCATTATATAAAAATATTAAAATTATTTAAAATTATTACAACAATTACAATAATTATAATAATAATACTAAATGTGGAAGAAGTTAACAATCTTAATAATATAGTTATTATAATATAATTATAATATTATAATAATATAGGGGAAAGTCCCCTTGTACCGGACACCTATGAGGTTTTCATGAAATAAAATTAAAACTACTTGAAAAAATATGACTTCATTTATGAATTAATTAACTCTACAATATATAACACCAAAATCAATTAACAAAAATAGAATATTTTGATAAACTTTTTTTTAAGTTCAATTTAGTTTTGGTATCGAAATACTACAGTTTTGAAATTGTCTCCTAGTACCGGACAGTCTAAAACTTTTAATTTTACGCGCAAGATATTATTGAGAAATGATGCATCGATCAAAGACTGTATTCTTGCTGTATTAAATGAAGTGTTATTGCCAAAGATATTGTAAAATAAAATCACCAACTTTAGAAAAAAAAATTTTTCCTTTTTTTTATTTTTTATTTAAATTTTACAGTGCATCCTACCAAAAACACATTCACATTAAGTGTATGATTGGTTCAACGAATATTCCTGTCTAATATATTCAAATAAAACAAAAGTGACTTAACTATTCACTTATTATATTGGCTGACTTTACCTGCAACAAAATTTACTTACTACAAAATTTTTGGGGAAAATTCCCCAAAATCTTAGTGACGCAATTTTAACCAAAAAAGGTAAATTTCCACCAGCCCGGTGACACGATCTATGCTTTCCTATAGGATTAATTGGGCTGAGTGTTGAAAGTCGCCAACGCAGCGCTGGCTGTACATTGGTCGGATATTAACCAAAATCCATGGGAAAACATACAAATATTTAATTTCCATGTATAAAAATTTATTTAAACTTATTTATTTATACATAATATTGATTTATAAACTTTTAAACATATTTCGTAATATAATTCACTTCAGAAAAGAGTGAAATTTATTTATTTCTTCTTCAAATTAAATTTTTATTACTATAATTTTGCGTCACTATTAAGCAAATTAATTATAATGTTTCTAAATGTAAAATTTGAGTTTTTAATTTGAATTGTAATCAATAATCTATGAAAATATTTTTAACAAAAAATATTTCGTTCATTTGAACGTTCAAAACTTTTTGTTCATTTTATAACGAAAATTGTATTATAATTTTTGGCGGGAAATTTAAACAAAATAATATTTTTATTATTATTTATTAATATTTATTTATTATTTATTAATACTAATTATTAATATTGCACAATATTATTAAATAATTAAAAAATATTATTAAATAATAATAACAATATTATTTTATTTAAATTTCCCGGCAGAAATTATAATACAATTTTCGTTATAAATAAAAAATTTCACTCTTTTCTGAAGTGAATTATATTATGAAATATGTTTAAAAGTTTATAAATCAATATTATGTACATAAATAAATAAGTTTAAATAAATTTTTATATATGGAAATTAAATTTTTGTGTGTTTTCCCATGCATTTTGGTTAACCCTTTCGCGCCCCCGGGGAATCCAGCGGTTGGATTTTCTTCCAAAATTGGTACTCGGGGGTTTTCAGGGTCGCTGATTACGAATCCGATGTCAGTTTTAAAAAATTCAAAATGGCGGATCCAATATGGCGGACAAGATTTTTAAAAAATGCTTGAATTTGCTTCAATATTGCTACTCGGGGGTTTTTGGGGTTTTGGGTTTTTCAAAATTCAAAATGGCGGATCCAATATGGCGGACAAGATTTTAAAAAATTGATTGAATTTGCGTCAATGTTGTTACTTGGCACTTTTCGGGGTCGCTGATTGCGAATCAGAAGTCAGATTAAAAAAATTTTCAAAAATCAAAATGGCGGATCCAGTATGGCGGACAAGATTTCAAAAAATTGCTTGAATTTGCTTCAATATTGTTACTCGGGGGTTTTCGGGGTCGCTGATTACGAATCCAATGTCAGTTTTTCAAAATTCAAAATGGCGGATCCAATATGGTAGACAAGATTTTTAAAAAATTGCTTGAATTTGCGTCAATATTGTTACTTGAGGGTTTTAAGGGTCACTGATTACGAATCTAATTTCAGTTTTTGAAAATCAAAACGGCGGATTAAATACAAAAGTTTTTGAGGTCGTTGAGTACGGAGAGAATTTTAGATTCGAATTTTATTACTAGTTTGTTACTAAAAATAAACTTTTTATTTTATTATTAATTTCAGATCCTAATTTTTATATAAAAAATAAATTATACAAAAAATTTAGAATAAAAATATGATCTGAAATTAGTTACAAAATTATACAAATGAATTTCGATACACCAGAATAGAATAACAATTTTGTTTCTACTATTTTATCAATAAAACATCAACTGACATCAGATTCGTAATCAGCGACTCCAAAAACCTCCGAGTAGCAGTTTTGAAGCAAATTCAAGCAATTTTTTAAAATCTCATCCGCCATATTGGATCCGCCATTTTGAATCTTGAAAAACTGACATCAGATTCGTAATCACCGACCCCGAAAACCCCCGGATAACAATATTGAAGCAAATTCACGCAATTTTTTGAAATCTTGTCCTCCATATTGGTCCGCCATTTTGAATTTTCAAAATTTTTAAAATTTGACTTCTGATATGCAATCAGCGACCCCAAAATCCCCCAAGTAACAATATGGACGCAAATTCAAGCAATTTTTTTGAATCTTGTACGCCATTTTGGATCCGCCATTTTGAATTTTGAAAAACTGACATCGGATTCGTAGTTAACGACCCCAAAAACATAAAAAAACGAAGTATTGTTAAAAATTATTCACTAAATGTTAATGAAATGTATAGTTTATTACATAACTGTTTTTTTAAAAACAGTCAATGTTTATTCTATTGTTTAAAATAAATATTACAACTTTTTGTAATTTACTCCTTTTTAATTGTAGCCACATTCATTCGGAATAGAAAGCAATTTAGCGCAAATTAATTGGTTAATTTTTATAAGAATTACATAAAATTTTCTAAGTGGGACATATATATGTCCCGGAGGCACGAAATGGTTAATATCCGACCAATGTACAGCCAGCGCTGCGTTGGCGACTTTAAACATTTGAGTGATTTTCAACTCAGTCGAGTCACCGGGCTGATTTCCACCAAGAAAACTTGGGGAATTTTCCCTTTGCAACCTTGGGAACTGTTCCCTTTGAAATCTTGGGGAATTTTCCCTTTGCAGGCTTGGAAAATTTCTCTTGTAAATTCTTAGAAAATTTCTCTTTTAAATTATTATGGAATTTTTCTCTTCGAACGTTGGGATATTTTTACTGTAAAATAGTACAGAATTTTTCAGTAAATTTTATCCTTTCATATTTGGGAAGATTGGTTTGTAAGGTTGAATAAATCTTGAACAAATTTTTTAAATACTGTTTATTATATTACTGTCAGTGAACGATAAGTACTTCAATTAAAAGTACTACATCTGAACTTTACAACATTAATAATTAATTTTTTGCTTTCGGATCGCAAATAGTCTTTGTGTAATGCGCGAAAGTTCTCCGTTTATATTGCCTTTAGGGGGTTGATTGTCCAACAACATACTGTAAAAATAAATTATTATTTACCTTTTACAATTGACATAAAAATACATAAAAATTAAATTGAACAATAATATATTTACCAAAAACTATGAATATATAGTAGTAATGAGGTTATGACTTTTATAATTCAATATTATATTTCATATTTTTATTTATATATTTTAAAAAAAAATTAAAAAATTTTTATTTTAATTAAAATATGAAAATTACCTAAATTACTAAATACTAAAATAATTACTATAGTAATCGCACTTTGAAATTTATACGATACAACGCCTTCTCGCTAAAAAAAACAATTTAGTGCTCTCATCGTGGTCATTCGCGTTATTGACAAACCGAGCACTCTGATTCTTTATTATTACGTTCTTCCGCGACTTTTTTGCCAATTTTTTAATCCGATGATTTGTCATTTGTTGAAGAACTAGAAGTGTCCGGCGTTAGGGGACTTCCCCATAATTATTACCAAATGATAAATTCCTTACCTTTAATTAATAATAATCATCATTTTTGTTGTAGTCGGAAATGGAAAATCCTCAAAAGTTCAGATACCTGGATTAAATCCAAGATTATGTGAGGATGACCAGAACAACCCTACTGGAAAATCCTATATAGGTACCTACAAGGAATCCTATATATTATTATAGGATTCTTTATAGGAACATATGTAAGTTCCTATTAAGAAATTGCCTGTAGGAAAAACATACTTTTTCCTATAGGGTTCTTTATAGATTCCTATAAGTCTCCTATGGGGCCATCCACATATTACGTCACACTTTAAGGGGGAGGGGGGTCAAGCAATTTGTGACACTCTGCAGAGAAAATGGCGCTAATGTATATAATAGAGTGTGACATGGGATACGGGGGGGTCAAAAATGACCAAAAATAGTGTGATGTAATATGTGGATGGCCACTATGGGAATGTAATAGGATGACCTATAGTTTCCTATATAGGATCATATGTGGATCCCTATAAGAATAACCCACAAAAATTCATATACTTTCCTATATGTTATTCTTATAGCGATCGACATATGGTAAAAGATTTTTCTTTTGTAACGTAACAGTCTTTTTAAAACGTTTATAACTTTTAATTGATAAATACAAAAAAATTTATATTCCTATGCAATATTGTTAAAAAAATATATTTTAAGATGCAAACATAAAAATTTACTAATTCCTTGTTATTTAAAAGTTATGGACAAAACAAAAAGACTGTTACGTTACACGATCCGCGATTTCGACCATATGATCCTATATAGGAAACTATAGGTCATCCTATTACATTCCCATAGGAGACTTATAGAAATCTATAAAGAACCCTATAGAAAAAAGTATGTTTTTCCTACAGGAAAAACATACTTTTTATAAAGAATCCTATAATAATTTACATGGGATCCATATAGGATTCCTTGTAGGTACCTATATAGGATTTTCCAGTAGGGTTGTTCTGGTCATCTCACTAAAAACCGCTCCCGTCATATTCCGGACTACTCTTCAACTCACGGAACTTTCCCCTACTGAAAATCCCTGTATAAGATCTTGTACAAGAAAATGCACACGTTCAGCAGCTGAACTTGTACAAGTTCTGGTAAGAAAATGTACAATTTCTTGTACAAGGATTTGAAACAAGTTTTTAGAAAATTGGAATAAGTAAATTAATAAATAATTTTTTTTTAAATTGGCATTTTAATAATTTATAATCATTAAGACTCTTCACTTTAGGCAAGCTAAAAACTATTGCGCAGCTCCAAAGGCTTATAAAAACTACTGCGCAGCCTTTAATGTTTATAATTTTAACACCTTAAAAATAATGTGTAAAGAAAATGTACAAGTACTTGTACGTGTTTGTGTACAAGATACAAACCGTACAAGATCATATGCATTTTCTTGTACTAGTTTCTTTTCTTGTACAAGTACTTGTACATTTTCTTGTACAAGTTCTAATACAAGAACTTGTTTCAAATCCTTGTACAAGAAATTGTACAATTTCTTACCAGAACTTGTACAAGTTCAGCTGCTGAACGTGTGCATTTTCCTGTACAAGATCTTATACAGGGATTTTCAGGAGGGTCTATTGGCTGCAATATGGTTGACATCAACCTTGTCGTTGAACTTTTATATACATAAGAAGCAGCTTGAGCTTTCTGTATAAGATGCAGACATATAAATATAACCAGCTCTACCACACCTCAGGCACCAATTGCACCTAACGACCATACATCTTCTTCTGATTGGGCGCACAACATAAATCCCACCTTTATGCGTCCCAATTTTTCAAGTTTTTCAGGCTATTCCAAGTTCTCCTTCTTTGACAGTTTTGCTTTATCTACTCTTGTCTGTTGGGCATTAGAATTAACCTCTCTTCGTAACTTTTCCAGCATTTTAGCATAGCTACTTTCCTTAGTCATTTTGACAATTTGACAATTTGACTCTTGCTGTCACCTCTTCGATTTACTATTTTTGCCTCGTTTCGACGTTTGGTCTACAAACTTGGCTACAAACAGTTTATGAGATTTCTTCTCCCGTTTTTTCTTTTTTAAGTTCATTGTCGACTCTGGACTGCTCAGTCTCCTCTTCTGCGACTCTACAGCAACATTCTTTAACGCAATTGCGTTGAATCTATCTCTTCTCTTTCTGCGGTCCTGGCGTATTTTTTCTACTCAGGCTAAACCTTGGTACAAATTTTCGTCTTTCTTTTGCGCTTCAACATCCTTTTGCTTTTCTGTCTGAATGAAAGTTTCTTCCTTAATAGCCATATTGACATTCTTTTGCACTACACAGGACTTTAGTATTTTATTGTTAGGAAAATGAAGTGATCCTCGTTTTGATGAATGATTTTTTAATAAAATATCTCAAACCCAGAGAAAATTAACAAAATTTTGTACGTGGCAAAATACCGCGTCACAACATGTATATGAAGTTCTGAGCAAATATTCAGGTGTACGTGTGAGTGGGTGTCTGTATGTTACACAGTAAATCGTGAGGTGTTAAAATATCACCAGAATGAATTAAAATATTCGGCAACAGTTTAATCCCTCCAGGATTAAATTAACACCAGAAAGAATTAAAATAATCCATTTTAGTGTTCTTTTGACTATGAATGAAATTTTACTTTACATCAAAACCAAGTAAACGATTTGTCAAAGAGAGTCATGTTAAAGCCAGGATCTTTGTAAATAAAAATTACATTATTTATGTAAATGAATTGCTTAATATTCAAGTAAAACGTATAATATTAAGGATAAACCAAAAAACTTGTAAAACCTGAAAAGGGTACTGAAAGGCAGAGAGACGACGAACAAAAGGTTATAAAAGTTTTACACATGAGATATAGGTGTCGGCACACAAACTAAATTCAAATAGAAGCTTGCTATTGTATTAGTTAAACATTTTAATTAAGTATTCAACACTGCCCCTCAAGCTGAAAGATATAAATTTAAAATTTCACTGATTTCAGTCCAAATTATTCAATAAACTTCCAATGTTTGGTCGTCGACAATCCTTTGGTCAATGCATCAGCAACCATCCCAGCAGATTAAAGATACTCCAAATCGATCACTCCACTTTTCAAAACTCCGCGCACAAAATGGTGCTTAATACCTATATGCTTCGAAAATGAAATACTTGACTCCGAGAGCTTTTGCGCTTCTTGATTATCATTTAAAATTTTAATTGTTTTGGGCACTTGCTAGCCAAGTTCAATGAAAAATCTTCTTTAATAGATTGCTTCCTTACTTGCTTCTGTCAATCCCATATATTCTGCTTCAAGACTCGATTGAGGAAATGTTACTTGTTTCTTAACTTCCCAAGAAATCGACATACCAGCAAGGATGAACACATATGCCGTATACGATCTTTGAGCTTCGACACAATTTGCCCAATCAGCATCAACATACGCATGCAGTGAATTTCCAGTCTTCACAAACTTCAATCCAAGATCCGAGATTCGCTGCAAGTATCGGAGGCCTCTTTTCACAACTATCTAGTGATCCTTTTGATAACAGTTATTAAATTGGCTAAGCCAATTAACCGTGTAGGCAATATCTGGCCTCGTTCCAACAACCAAATAGAAAAGTGCTCCAATAAGTTCTCGAAATAGATATTTCTTTTGCTCTTGACTAGAGCAATTTTCGGGTTTAGCCAACTTCTCCCCTAAACGCATCGGTGTCGACACAGGCTTGGAATCCTGCATTCCAAATTTCTTCAAGATTTCTTGAATAAATCGTCGGTTTGGTGCAGAATAAATTAGTAAAAATGTTCCTGTTCCCAAGAAAAATAACAATTATGCAAAATGAAACTAGAAAAATCATTATTGTATAACTTTATAACCTTTGCTTCAAATTTTTTCTGTACTGACAGTGCCAACCTAAAATAACAAAAATGAACGTCAAATCTGAGTTGGGATGTTTTTCAAATCTCAGCTCAAATGGCAGGTTTCTCAAATTTCTGCACCCAACCGACGAAATATCCTTTGTGAAACCTCAATAGAACTGTCAGTTTGATTGAATTCTATCCCCAAACATCGCTTGATTCTTCCAAGATCCTTTACGTCGAAAAATCTTCTTAATTCCTGTTTTAATTGAGTTAACCAACTTGAACAACACTGAAGCGATATAATCTCGTAAGAGATTTTTGTCATTGACTCCTGAAAAATGTGACCGTTCCGACTTCCGAGCATTTGCTAAATTCGGGTTCATTTCCGTGTTCTTTGATAATCGGGCTAGAGTGGGGAATCCTGGGGTCGAGGAAGATTGTGAATTATCAATTTATTAATTGACTTTCGCGATTCATCGATCTCAGGTTCAACGACGGCTATGCTCTTACGTGCCGGACGAGGACACGGAAAGGTAGTTTTTGTTCTTTAGTTTCAAATTATCTTTTAATTTTCTGTAAGTTTTAGTTTATTTTCTTTTTTTTATTTATCAGAGTTGTTTTTGTTCTGTTTTCTTACGTAAAGTGTGGCCGTTTTTGGGTAATCCTAACATTATGGCAATTTCACGGATAACGTTTACAATATTTGACAAAACATAAGGAACAACCTCGGAAGTCGGAACAAATCACGGTGCCTCGATCATCCCATACTTGGATAAGCGTGAGTTTCGACAATGATCCGTAAGTTGGTTCTAGAAAAATGATAAAATTGTTTTGATAATTTTCGATGACTATATTGATATGTCAATCTAAAATTTATCCATTATGGTTGCCTAATAATGACAGAGATAGCAAATCAAGTCGTGAGATGAATTGTGAATGTATTTTTTAAATGTTTGTTTCTAATTTGTTATTGATTATTTTATTATTGTGATTTATATTGTCAAATTAATTTATGCATTGTAATTTTGAATGTGTGTGTGGTGTGTGTGTATTTTCTTTATAAATTGCTTATTTCTGTATATATGTATTATTTCCTGACGTCAGGCCTATTTATTTTATTTGACTGAAATATAATATAATAATTTCTTAATAGAATTTGTTTGTATGTTTATTTGAACTATGAATTTTATAATTTTTAATTAATTTAATGATTTTATTTATTTATTTGTAATATTTTGTCTTAAAATCTTGTTTATTTTTGTAATTTGTATTGTCGCGGTTTTTAGGGTTCCGTACACCTACGGTGTATCGGCGGAACCCTATTGGTGAGACTCTGTTGTCCGTAGCCAAATCGTGTCCCCCCCCCCTAGCGGCTAAACTATTTGACCTAAAGAGCTCAAATTTGTACAGATATGTATTTTCACACGTAGATTACAGGAAAAATATAGCGAATGTGATTGGACGTGATGGGCATAGCGTTGTCAAGGAAATAACAAGATTTTTGGCCAAAAATGCATAAAAAGTGACCATTCCCCCCCCTTAACTTCTAAACTATTCGACATGGAGAGCTGAAATTTTGCATGCTGGTGTACTTTTACTCGAATATTACAGGAAAAATATAGAGAACTTGATATGCAATGATGGCCATAGCGTTGTCAAGGAAAAACTAAAAAATTTAAAAAAAAAAAATTTTTTTCCCTAACTTTTACATTATTTGACCTAATGAGCTGAAAATTGGTATCCTAGTGTATTATTACAGTCTGACGACAAAAAATTTATTTAAGAAACTTTTTGAAAAAAAATCCAAAAAAAAATTTTTTTAATTTTTTTTTTCAAAAAAAAAAATTTTTTTAATTTTTTTTTTCAAAAAAAAAATTTTTTTTAATTTTTTTTAGTTTAAACACGTGGCATTAAATATTTTAAGGAAGAGAGTGAAATTTTAAGAGAATAAATGAGAGATTGTTTTCTGACTTTAATTTCTTAACTAAAAATAAAAAAAAATTGGACAAGTGCGAGTTGTACTCGCACTGCAATGGCGGGTTCCGCACACAAATATTAAAACAATACTTGCAACATTGATCGGTAATTGGTGGAATTAGAATAAACAATTATAAAAATATATTAAAATCATTTGATAAAAAAAATAACTAAAAAAAATTAAAGTATTGTATATATCTAATATTGTAAACAATAATAAGCAGAGGAACAAAATTTTTAAAATTTATTATAGTTCCTCTGCTTATTATTGTTTACAATATTAGATATACAATACTTTAATTTTTTTTAGTTATTTTTTTTTATCAAATGATTTTAATATATTTTTATAATTGTTTATTTTAATTCTACCAATTACCGATCAATGTTGCAAGTATTGTTTTAATATTTGTGTGCGGAACCCGCCATTGCAGTGCGAGTACAACTCGCACTTGTCCAATTTTTTATTATTGATGAAAATAAGAAAATCGTTATAACACTATCAATTCACTTTTTGTTTTGTTTAGTTTATTTACAAGTTTGATAAAAAGTTTAATTATTAAAAACTATTTATTGATAGGTTGGCGAAAAGGATGAGTAATGATTAGATTCACTTCACATTACATTTAAAGTTTATTTCACTATTTAATTGTTTAAATTAATACACATATTTATTTAATTTATTTTATTTACAGTCAATTTATTTATTCTTTAAATTTCAATGAAAATCACTTCACATGATATTTTTCAATTGTTTTAATTTATAATCACAATAATTAATAATTTAGTTTTCACAAGTCAAAATTTTATGTATACATAGTTCTATCGTGTGCGAAGTTATATCGAGTACTGCAAATATTTCGTCTTATATTTGGTATTGTCTATGAATCACTCATACCACATTAATTACATTTTAATTGCTATTTCACACATTCGTCGTTCTATCGTGTGCGAAGTTATATCGAGTACTGAAAATATTTCGTCTTATATTTGGTATTGTCTATGAATCACTCATACCACATTAATTACATTTTAATTGCTATTTCACACATTCGTCAATTTTATAAATAGGGGAGAGTCTCCAGTTGTGAGACACCTCCAGTTGTGAGACAGTCAATTTTTTTTAACATGCAATATTAAAAAGCCGATTGGTTTATAAAAAAAACATTTCTTTTTATATGAGCCAACTTTTTCGAGTACGCCGAAGCGGATATATAAACTGTTTTTGTTAAATACCAACACTGTGTGTGATAATCGACTAAAAAGCGTTTTTTCAATAAATGCAAAGTACTTTTTTTCCAAGTTAATTAATTGGAAAAGGTAAATGTAATGCATTTTCTTTTAGTGTTTTCCTTATATTTTGTGATGCAATATTGCATTGTTCCAATCTACGGTTGAAAATAATTTAATTTTCCTTTTTCAAAATAGCGCCAATTTCTGGGTGTGAGACACAGCATATCACCAGTTGTGAGACGGTGTCAACACCCATCTGGGCAGCATAAAAAATACGACTTTACAGGCATACTATTTAAATGTTGTTTTGATTTTTTTTTTCTAGTATTTTTGGGCATGTCAAGTGGAAAAAAGTCAATTGATTCAGAAGAAATCAATTTTAATCCTCTTGTTGAAGCTATTAAATTGTGTTTATTTGATAGTCATATTTTAGTGAATAAATATTATTATTTAGTATATAATAATATATATTATTAATATATTTAATTATTTTTACTAAACATAACGTTTTATGTCAAACTTATTAAATTTTAGCAATTTTTAATGAGTATCTCACAACTGGAGACATTTTTTTTTTTTGAAAAAAGCGATGTGCTCGGAAAATGTATAGTAAAATTTTTTGAGTTCATCGAAACACTATACTTTCTTTTAATAAAAGTTGCGTATTTCTGTTACCTTTCGAACGGTGTATTTTATTTACAATTTCGTTTGCCCGTTTACAATTTACGGGTCAAAAATAAAACCCGTCTCACAACTGGAGACTCTCCCCTACTATATTTATTTTCTCATTTTATGATTCGCAACGCGACACAACTGATAGGGGAGAGTGGGTCAAGACGGGATACTTAAGGTTTAAAGCGCAAAAAAACGAAAATTATCGGATATATACTTTATTATTTTTTTAATTATCATCTTTAGGAATCAGTCTTTCGTAAAAAAGGCGTACAAAGGCCATCTGTTTCTTAAAAAAGCATAAAATTAATAATATGGAAATAATTGCAAATCTCCCTATCTTGCCCCACCGGCAGGCAAGATTGGGTACCCTAAGGGGTAAGATGGGGTACTCAAGAAAGCAACCTATTTCTGTCGACAAATTTTACAAGTAAAGGTTGCATCTTCATCTTCGTCATCGACATCAGCACAACGGCAGTGAGCCCATTGGCCGCAGACAGAACAAGCAGCCCAGCCTTCATTTGAGTCTAAATAATAACCATTGCAATAGAGACAAGGTGTATTTTTCACTTTACCATCGCTAATTGATGATTTAACCTGACAAGCTTTTTTCTTTTTGGTCACTCTTATTTTATTCAGTCTTGATTTTAGTAGTTTTCTTAACTTCTCTTATTTCTCTTTTCTTTTGCTTAATTTGTGCACCCCGTCTTGCCCCACTCTCTCCTACCCCATCTTGCCCCCACCTACGAAATTGAAGAAAAAGGTTAATCACTACAATTTACGATTCATCAAAAAAAACATATGCTTCCCTTCTTCTGCAACCCTTGCCAGTTAGAAAAAAATTTATACAGTTCATTAACTGTTATTATTAAATAATAAACGCCTCCTAAAAAATGTGAAAAAATGACAAGAAAATCGTCGAAAACAGTTTTTTTTAGTAAAACAGATAAAAGATTTGTTCTCACGGCTTTTGGGTTTTATAAAAAAGAAACTATTGTC